TAACCCATTTTTTCGTCGTTGGTAAAAACAAAGTTCTTGCAGGTTCTGGAACAGAACAACTGATTTGTAATTGAAGAGACATGTTGTTTGTATAGGGACTTCGCCTGATTTTTATCGATAAAATCTACACGGAGGTGCTCTGAAATAGATTTTTCAGTCCATATCTATACTTTCTAGGGTAACCACCGTTTTTTCGAGACTTTAGAATAATAGGTTTCTGTAAAGTTTCCAATGCATTTTTGATATGTCGTCGGCCATCTATTGTCTTACCATTAATATAACATCTGAATTTTGTGTCAATCTTTATAGTTGTATGTCTTTGGAAAAAATCAGGTGTATTTTCCGAAATGCAATATTGCGCTGCAACTGTTGCTCTACACATTCAGAAATGCAACATTTGGCAATACTGCATTAGTCATATTTTGGAAATGTGAACAACAAAGCAAGTGTTACGCAAACAACGCAGTATTAAGGCGGATGTTGCAATGAATGAATGCTCTTTGGATATTTTAATATTTTTCAACCTGCCAAAATAATAATAAAGCCACTTTTGGAAATGCAGGTCGAATTTCCTTGTCGTTCAGTATAGACTAAAAGATGAATTTACACACTTTTTCTGTCATGTACACAAATCGGACTTATTCCGACCACTGGCAAATTCACCAAAAATATTTTTATATACTCCACCATTCTATGAAGGGTATATTTTATTTTTGTCATTCCGTTTGTAAATCCATATTCATAATAGACCCTACAAAGTATATATATATTCTGGATCAGCGTAAATTTATAAGACGATCTAGCGATGTCCGTCTGACTTTGGTAATCGCGCTATCTTTCGAACGAATTGAGATAGAAGGCTAAAATTTTGCATGCATGCATAGTTTATCAGTAGGCAGGTAAGTTCGTAAATGGGCCATGTCTGCCCAATTTTTCGTATACGGTACCTCCCGATATTCAGTATTTAGTAGCTTATGACAACAATTTTTATATGCAGGTCTACGTCTTCGTATAGCCCCCATATAACGGTACCTCCCGATAGTCGGTATTTGACGATTTCATACATCTTAAAGGGTACTACAACTTATGGCAAAAAAATCGTATGCAAGTCCACATCTTGGTATAGTCCCCATGTAACGGTTTTCATTTAAGTGGTAGTTTTCGGATTTTTTTTGGAATTTTTCAATTTCCTTCGAAATGGTGGAGGGTATTAGCTGCTTTTTTTCTTGTTTCATTTCTTATCGTATATCCCCCATATAACGGTATATATATATATATCTATATTCGGTATTTTGATGATTTTAGCTCCATTTTTCAATGAAATTCTCTGAAAATCCACACAAGAAGTTGTTTTCCTATATTCGATATTAACAGAATTTTTAAAAGATTTCGTTTTTTGAAAATTTCCGAATTCGCTCCAAATGTTGGAGGGTATTCAAAGTCCGGCCCGACTTACTACTTTCATACTTGTTTTTTTTTTAATTAAAGAACATCTATTTTCTTCATAACTTGTATGCTATGTCAAATAATGTTGGCATTTAAAATGCTAGGCAGTGAAGGAAACAATCGGACCAATGGGGTAGCAAACTACATATTCTATATTTAACAGAAGGTACGAGTAGAACAAATATAAACTAATAAATACACATTTTTCTTTTGGTGTCCCTATTTTGTCGTAACACAGTTTGTATATGTGTGTGTATTGTTTTCAATATTTCAGAAAACAATTTGAAATCATTTCAAATTCAGTTGTAACAGGAATGCATATCTTCGAAGTTAATGGGCAAAGAGCTGTATGATGTTGCCCTTTTATCTTGGACTCAATTTTGTTGGAAAACCCAAAATTCCATTCATGTTTTGTGTTTTCCCCAATATAAGAATTTTTTGAAAAAATGTGAAATAAACATAACCAAATTCCAAAAATGTATATATTTAGGATTAAACACGTAAAAAGCAATGGCCGGACTGTTCATACCCTCCACCATTTGGAAGAAACTTGAAAATTTTCAACATAATTCCGTCGAAAAATACCGCTCAAATGAAAACCGTTAAATGGAGGCTATACGAAAACATGGTCCTTCATAAGTAATTTGTGTCATAGGCTGTAGTAACGGTTCCGAACTTTATATAGGACATTTGAAACAAATCCGGTGCATAATGCCGCAAAAATAATAAAAATACCGAATATCTGGGTTATCGTTATATGGGCGCTATACTAAAACGTGGACCTATTTGGACAATTCTCTAGGGGGTAAAATACTCAGAAGGAACCCCTTGTGTGGATTTTAAGACAATTCCATAACAAAATTGGCAAAAATAATCAAAATACCGAATATAGGGAGGTATCGTTATATGGGGGATATACGATACCGTGGACCTATATAGATAATTATCTTCAGGGGATAAAGAATTCACAAGGAACTATTTGTGTAGAATTTCAGGCAATTCCATTGAAAATGTGGCTAAAATCATCTAAATAACGAATATGGGGGGTTCCGTTATATTGGGGCTATACGTATCGTAGACCGATATGACCCATCTTCGAACTTTACCTGCCTGTAGACAAAAGACAGACCTGTGCAAAATTTTAGCTCCCTATCTTAATTCGTTTTGACTGTAGCGTGATTATAAACAAGCGGACGGGCGGACGACAGGGCTCGTCTTAGAATTTTACGCTGATCAAGAATAAATATAAATTGTTGTGTCTAAAATTATTATTTCGATAAGTTACAAACTGAATTGCGAACTTAATATACCCTCCGTACTATGTGTGGTGGGGAGGGTAAAAAAAATATTGAACATTATATGTTTTCTTCACATTTTTGGATATATAACTTTGATACTTGTATTATTAGTACAAAAACAAATTTTTATGTGGTTGTTGTACAACAACACTTGCTGTTACCTGTATTATTGTGCCATGAGCTAACTCTGTGCATTGTTCCTAGTTCCTTTGCAGTCGTACAACCTTCGGGTTGAGCCATGATATAACTATTTGAATATTAAATGGGAGGGCTTTAAAGCATACCTTACATATACTTTGTGAACAAGTTACTTCGTGTATGCATCTAACGTGAAGTGCCACCAGCACAAATTTCGTTAATTACAAAAGTTATATGCAATTGAAAAATTACGGTTCCCCCTAGCTACTGAAGAAGTGGTCTGATATTACACATCTTCGAACTTGATCTAAGTTTTATAGACATATTTTGGGTCTGGACCAAATTGGATAATACCTTCGAGAGACGTCATGCATGCAGACAAAAGAGCTGACATCGCAATTAACTACAAATGACCCAAACGGATTTCGTCCACATAGACATAGGTTCTGAATGTTTCAAATGAAATGCAATAGCAAATGGTATAACAACTAATAGCTACATTGTATAAAATGATATATATGCGTTAGGCCAACAATCGTTTCGCTGATTTCAATCTCCATTCTTAATAGACTTGAAATGTATTTCAATTTTCTAAAAATTAGAAAACAATAACGCTAAACGTTTCTATTACTTACTTTTTCCATTTGAAAATAGCGATATAAACACTGTGCTGTATTTTATTTTTTTTATGACTAGTTGTTAGATAATTACAATGCAATTTTTATTTATTTCTTTGATTGGAAATTAAATATTTGTTTCTTCTTCTTTTTTTAAAGTACATCTACATTTATTGTACATAGTATTTAACTAAATTTTCTTAAAACGTTTAGTTTTTAAAAAATATTATTTTTTGTCGGTAGATATTTATATAAATGTTTGTATGTTTGTATATGTATGTATATCTTAAGTACACTTGCTTTCAAAAAGTATGTGGTAAGTAAAAGTCTGCATAAAAAATTAACTTAGGTTGTTTTACATAAAATATTAGTTATTGTTATTTCTTTTTTTGTTTATGTACTAGAAAAATTACAGTTAAAGAAGTAAAGAGTAATATGCTAATAAAAAAAATATTTATGATAATAACGATTATAACAATAAAAATCTTATTTTCTTTCAATTGACTAAACGAGTTTTATTTTTAAATTATAAAATATTTTTTGTATTTATACAAAAAAAAATCCCTCATAACTTTCTTGTAATTATGTGTTTTCTTTTGCAGATGCATGTTCTGGTGAGTGTGTTATTACAAATAAGTTTGTAGCAAATGTGAATTATTTTATTAGGTATGTAGTTATGTGTACAGTAATACGTTTAACCATTGAAACTTACGGAAAAATAAAAGTTTCATTATCCGCCCAATTGATGTCGTAAACATCCTGAAATCGGGGGAAAAACAACAAACATTTGAAGGAGGAGAAAAATACGCCCGGTACTTATAATATTAATGTTATAATACGCATTCAATTTGTTGTGCATTTCTGGTTGTAACTGTACTAAAATTCTCAAACTGAACAAATAACACGGTTTATGTATATATTGTCTAGTTGGTATACAATAACAGTATGAATGTATGCATTTATATCATTTGATTTGTATTTTGGAAGACTGTGTTTGTTGTGATTGCCTTGATTCAATTTTACATGCTCTTTAATAGCATTGTTACTTATTTGTATATATGTATGTATGTATGCGTCGGCGTGTTAATTGCTAAGCCATTAACTGGTTACTAAGGAATTCATCTTTCAGATGATAAGGAATTATTTACATTGGGAAATTTCAATTGTAAGAAAATCAAATCAAAATTGTCTTAAAAAAGAAATCGGAGAAGAAATAAAGGGATTTAAATAAAGAAGATAGTGTGCGTTTTAATATGCATTGGCATGTATACATTGATTCCCACGGTTGCATTTGATACGATGGTACAAAATGATATTTGTCATGTTTTATAATAAAATAAGCCATTTAAATTATAAAGTCCACTTAAAGTATCCCAAGTCTCCTGTTTTAGGTTTCAGTGCGTCAGCCGCTTTAGATTTCAATTATAAAATAAAATATTTTAATATGGTATTTTTTATATTAATATTGTACCTCGTTTCTATACACATTTTTATTCCACGCTTATTTACGAAATTCTATTTCATCAAATTTATTGTGATTGGTTAATTATCACTGCTAAAGACTTTAGCAATCTTTTATGTAAACGCGCCTTTGAACAATTTAATTGCAACAAGTAAAAAATCTGTAAGTTTTGCCGGTTCGATCTTTCAATAGCCTCCTCCATTTAAAAGGATTTTGGGAATTTTCAAAAAAAAAAAAAAAAAAAATAAATAAATAAATAATAATAATAAAATAAAATCCGTTAAAAATTCTGTTAAAATCATCAAAATACCGAATATAGCCGTTATATTAGGGTCTATACGACGACTGCATAGGCAACTTTTGTCATAAACCATTACAAGTCGGTAAAAAATCGGTGAATAATGTAGCTAAAATCATCAAAATTCCGAGTATAGGGGGGCTATACGAAGACGTGGACCTGCACAGACAATTTTCTGTCATAGACTGTAGTGCTCATTACGAACTTCAAATTCCAAATTTGAAACATTTCCGGTGAATAATGTCGCTTAAATCACCAAAATACGGAGGAAAGGGAGGTACCATTATATGTGGGCTATACCAAAACGTGGACCTACATCACCCATTTTCAATACAAAAGTCCTGCAGACATTGTACACATTTGATAAAAAATTTTATCAACCTACAGGCAGACAGACGGACGGACAGGGCTAAATCGACATAGAATTATATTCTGATCAAGAATATTTATACTTTGTGGGGTCTAAAATGTATATTTCGAGGTGTTACGAACGGAATGACAAACTTAACATACCCTTCATGCTATGGTGGAGGGTATAAAAAGTTTCCATTGTAACTAAATTGTCTCAATCTCTCAAAATTTATATTCACGTATACATAAGATTAACTAAAAATTCAATGAGTTTTGAAATTTAGAGATAAGATCAGTTAAAGTGTGTATTGCGATAGAGATTTTTTCCCGCGCATTTTCACTCAATGATCAAAGTCTTGCTCTATTTTGAGCGATTCTGCTCCCACTCTAAGTTTCCAAACCAGAGTTACAGTTTGGGAGGGCTTCCACGCAAAACAAAAGAGGGAAGAGTAGACTCCGTAAAAAACTCACACTCTTCGAACAATCCTGCTCGCGAGCAAGTTTCGATCCCGAGTGAAAATGAGCAAATCTGTGCTTTGAAATGCTAGAATTTCTTCACCTTGGTCAATGAAGGACCATGAATTACAACTACAGACCAACGCATAAACAAACCCTTAATTGATATCTACTCATTTAAGAACACCTTAGTAAAAAGTTTTTGTTTAAGGCCTCAATTTATACATACGATGTCCTATGGATATCATGCCTGGTGAAGCACATTCTGCTCTATGTCAGACCAGGTTAAGTTGCATATTGCAGCGACAGCGACTAAAACAATTCTGGGTAGTGCATTAGTTGAATGCAACGCAGTTACAGACATTTTCAGGTATAGGAAAATTCTCCCTGCGGAGCAATGATTACCTCTCACAACTACCAACACCAATGAAAAGTCCGTGCATCTCCCGATATGTGAAGCAGATCTTAGTGTGGCCAGATGAAAAACTAGGAAGCTTAAAGAGTTTAGAGACCAGAAAACCTCTTAAACTACGAGCGAACTAGTCGTCGCCCCAATTTAACCCATTTTTTCACACTTCCCCTTCATCTGCTTAAAGGATGACATTATGAATCATTCTTCAAATAACTTTTTCATAAACATTGAATTTTACTTCCGCATAAAGGATGCGTCGTCGAGAGCAAAAGTCGGCTTCAGGACTTTTCGATTTTTGCCCTTAACAAAAACCTAGCTTGGAGTGACCGCCTTCGTTGCGTTTTTACTTTCAAGTGACAAAGCGGATCCGAATATTCATTTGCTTTCGTGGATGTTGTCCTGTCTCTGTCCTTACCAACATACCAAAGGCAAATACAATTGGGAATCAATGCCGTTGGAAAGTCACTACTTTCTCGAAGATTAAAAAAATGCAACAGGGTTTAGAATATAAAAAAAAACATGTCATGATCAAACAAATATGAATTTCTGTCAAATGCAAAGAACCCGCGGGACTACTAGCTGGAACTGGAACCATTATTGTCGTCACGAACGCTGGCATTGGATTTGTTGTTGTTGCTGGTTTTGATGCTGCTGTAATTAGTACTAGTTGCATTACATTTATTCTGCGAAGACTGTGGACAAGTTGCAACATTTATTTGGCAATTCGTATCGCTGCTGTGCTCCGAACTATTTTTTGTTGTTGCTGCTGCTGAGGCATTTGTATGGGGCGTTATTGTCTTTGTTGCTTGTACACCGAGCGTTTTATCGGAAGTAGCATTGTTGCTGTTGTTACTATTGCTATTAGCGTCATCGTTACCGCTTGTTGTTGCTGACTTTGGTTGAAAGCTGTTAGCAGTCTTCTCTGTTACTGGGGTGCCGCCGGTCGGTGTGATTCCAACTGCCGTTTGTAGGGCCAGCATTTGTTGTGCCTGGGCTACACATGACACACAGGGACAGGGGCCGCCAAGTTTTTTCGCCAACATCGAACGTAGCTTTAGGGCTGGTCCCAATTTCATTCCTAACGAATTGACCAGATGATCTTCCGTTAGTAACGGAAGGCCAGAACCGTCAATGCATTGATCGCGAAAATGCTGCAACGAAAATAAAGGGTTCTAATGAAAATGTGTATATGCATATTTCTGGAATAAAAATAAACAAAATAACAAAGGCTATCAAATCGTTATATATCGTTAAATAACAAGTTATATTTATTATAAGTTATGCATCGTAGAATAAATAAGGTAACCTTGTGTTATCACATAGAATTTTTTCAAAGTTATGCCTTCGACACAATCTCATTGTCAAAATATGCATTTATAGTCCATCGTATTACACAAAATTTATCTGAATCTAAATGGAAACTTTATATAGCTGTCTGCAGATCCCTTCAAACATATGCTGCTCAAGTTTGAGGACATTGTTACTTTGAGGAAGTAAACACATTGCGGAGATATTTTTTGAAACGTATTCAACGTGTACCAAGATACACACCAAACTTCGCACTGACGATGGAAATAGCCAATCGACGTTCTCCTTAGCTAATTGGAAGAGTTTTTGTAAAAAATTGTTCGGTACCATAAAAAATCGATTACGCGAGAAAAGATTCGGGCCCAATAAAATTGTCAAAGTCTACGCATTTATAAATACCTGAATGCAAACACGTAGTGAAATGTTCCCTCTGGGCTATAATATATTTGATTCCAATGAAACTCTACAACAATTCCCAATAAGAAGACCTGAACTTCGAGAGTTTCGACTAAGGAAATTTTAACGGAAGAAGTGATCAAAGTTCTAAAGCTAAGATCGGAAAAAATGTACACAAACTATATTGAAATAACCTATAGATATAGACAGCTTCTATTGAATTACTAATTTAAAGTTATTTATAATAGAACAAGTAAAAAACATTAAGTTCGGCCGGGCCGAACTTTTAAAACCCTCCACCTTTGGGTAAAGACAACATTTTTATACCCTCCACCATACTATGGAGGGTATATTAATTTTGTCATTCCGTTTGTAACTTCTCGAAATACTCATGTCAGACCCAACAAAGTATATATATTCTTGATCAGCGTAAAATTCTAAGACGATTTAGCCATGTCCGTCTGTCTGTCTGTTGTAATCACGCTATGTTTCGAACAAATTGAGATAGAAGGCTAAAATTTTGCACACATGTATATTTTGCCAGTAGGCAGGTTAAGTTCGTAAATGGGCCATGTAGGTCCAAGTTATCATATAGCCCCCATACAACTGTACCTACCGATATTCGGTATTTTGATGATTTTAGCGACACTATTCACCGGAATTGTTTCAAATTTGGTATTTGAAGTTCCAAATGGATACTACAGTCTAAGACAGAAAATAATCCGTGTAGGTCCACGTCTTCGTATAGCCCCTATATAACGGTACCCCCCGATATTCGGTATTTTTGATGATTTTAGCGACATTATTTAACGGAATCGTTCCAAATTTGGTATTTGAAGTTCGTAATAGATACTGCAGCATAAAACAGAAAATGGGCTATGTAGGTCCACGTCTTCGTATAGCCCCCATATACCATACCCCCGATATTCGGTATTTTGATGATTTTAGCGACATTATTTACCGGAATCGTTTCAAAGTTGGCATTTGAAGTTCGTAATAGATGCTGCAGCATAAAACAGAAAAGGGGCCATGTAGGTCCACCTCTTCGTATAGCCCCCATATACCGTACCCCCCGATATTCGGCATTATTTACCGGGATTATTTGAAATTTCGCATGTGAAGGCATTCGGTATTTTTAAGATTTTAACAGAATTTTTAACGGAATTTATTTATTTATTTTTTTTGGAAATTTTTAAATTTGAACTTACAGCTTTTTTACTTGTTTTATTTAAAAGTATCTGCATTCAAACGTGTTCCACTTTAAATTAAAAATACCAGTAAGATCGTTTGGATAATGTTGTTAAACTTTTCTAAGAAGCATAAAGTGGGTGAGGCCGTTGTACGGGGACCATACCAAAACGGGAACTTCGATAGACTATTTTATACTTCAAGTATTGCCTTCTTAAATACCAAATTTTAAACAATTCGAGGGAGAAATATGTTCAAAATCATCAAAACACCGACTATGGGGAGGTACCGTTATATGGGGGCTATACACACCATGTTCCGCCAAAGCTAGTACCCATTACGAACTACAAATGTCAATTTTTACACAAATACGTGGAAAAATGTGGCAAAAATCATCAAAATACCGAATATTGGAAGGTACCGTTATATATCGGCTATACCACAACTTGAACTGATATATCTCATTTTTAATACCAACCACCCTAGAAACAATAAAAATTGTTGTGCCAAATACGTCAAATATTGTGGGCTGTATCGTGAATTCAACAGACATACAAACAGTCGGTTTTATGTCGAATTACATATGAAATATTGGTGGGGTTGGCGGGCCCAATGTGCTTTGCCTTGTGGTTGGGTCGGTTGCCAAGGTGTTTAGATTGGTCACTCATTGTGTGTGTTTTTTTTTTCGTTTTGTGAATGCCGTTTGATGGAAGTGCATGTCTAACTTTCACGGCCACTTAGAAGAAGGCCTGAACTTGTTAAATTGCACTCAACGATTACTTTGATCTGAGGATGTGTACACTGGAGCGCATATTGCCTGCCTGCCTGCCTGCTTGCCCACCTATGTGCCTACCTGTTGCTTGCTATGTTCATGCATTCATTTGTTGTTTTACTAACTACAGACGAACGAACTACATTGCTTCAATACTGTATTGACTATACGAACGATGAAACAAATTTTGTGTGTTGGTAAAACGTTAAGGTGGCTACTTGAAAATGGCAGCTGTTATAATTTCAGACTTTCATATTCTGAGTTCGTGATCGAAAAACATATATTTGAAGAGCAATATAAAATCATGGAAAGCTAAGTAGCTTGGAGTTGACCTTGTAACATTATTTTGAAAACTGTCTTTTTAACATTCGGATTTAGGCTATAATTAAGAAGTTGGCTGCCATGTAAAATACGTGTACAATCATCTCAAATGGGTTCAGTATAGCTCACGAAACGAAGGAGGATTGTTTGCATAACGTGTTGATAACTTTTCCCACATTTGTCGGAGTTGATGTCCCGATATTTAAACGCAGTCTAAATAATTTTAGAAATTTGAAGGACTGTCAGAACTTGTCGCGACGAGATTTTCGTCGCTACAAAAATCTAAATTCTTATTCATAATAAAGCCATGCAAATGGAGCGTAAATAACAGACAAGCCTTAAATAGTCCAGTCAAACATTACCAGTTGAGAAGTCGGTTTTCATGCTCATTACAATTTTAATGCTTTGTCCTCTCAAGCTTCTAGTAACCTGGTGTCCATCTGAACATAACACATTTTCGGTCGACTGTTAATTTCCATTTTTTTTTAATTTTTCTTTTAATAATGCTCTTAAGAAAACGATCTGTCTGCTGGCAGAAGAAAATATCAAAAAATTTAAAAATTTAATTTAAGACAGTCAAAATAGTTTTTTTTTATCAGATTGGACCAAAGTGAAAGACTGAAAATTCGACGTTTTGTTGTGGACAAAAATCGCATAGTCTAAAAGTCGACTTTTGTGTTTGACTTTGTGTCTCAAATAATGCCGTCCCGGTACTAGGTGCTTTAAACTGAGTCCAGATACCCAATGCAAATCCGAAATACCCAATATGAGTACTCGATTTGAAATGTTTTGGCCTATTTAATATATGTATGGGCATAACGAAATGGTCAAATCGAGCCACCTAAATTAAACATAATTTTAACTACATTATCCACCCTAATACACATTCAACTTAGTAATTGTTCGTAAGTATAAGCATGTGTGTATATGCTAGCTGTGGCATGTTGCTATGCCATAGATGTTTTTGCTTCGTTCATAGCGTTTGATTTTGATCGCGTGCTCTTCACAATATGCCACAACCGGTCTCGTCCATCGCCGCAACTTCTAAGGCGCAGAGAGCACGCGCGCAACTATTTTATTCAAGCCTAAATCTTAAAAAAAATCATGTTTGAAGAACATTAAACGAGTAATTTTCATTCTCGATGGAAATGGGGATGCAACCCAACCAACGATGGAAGGCAACCACAGCGGCAGCCGCAGCCGTTGCAACCAAAGGAGGAAATCAGGGAAATAGCGGTGATCTGGTTTTAAAGCTACTAGCTTTTGTTTTGGCTATAATTGACAGTGTCGTTGGCTGAAAATGGAAAAAATGGCAACCGCAATAGACTTTCGATGAAAATAAGAGAAATTTTACTACGATTATCCGCCACAAGAACTTCAAGACCGAATATGGTAATAAATACTTGTTGAAGATATTTGGCCAATAAATGGATGCCGGTGGCAAGAGCAATTCGCGGACTGTCTAACATTTAATATGCAAACGAAGATATTTTAATGAGGCTGTGTTTAAGTACGCACGCACCAACTATATTTGCGTGTTATTAAACAATGGCAATGTCTAGCAGGAAAAATGAAACGAAAAATCTTCAATTGTGTGTTGTAAAGAACATAAAGTTGCAACAAACCTCCCAAAAGAGAAATAAAGTCGTGTCTGATTACCTATATTATACGAACTCCCCATTATTTGGCAATGGAACACTTTGTTGGGTGATATTTAGCAGATCGGGTCTCCATGACTTGTTTTATTAGGTATATATGAAACATGCCTACAATTTTGGTCGCGTATCTGTTGTTATAAAAAAGTTATAGAAAGTTTCTTGAAAACAAGAAAATAGTTTGTTCCACTCTTGCACTTTTGTTAATTTTCCACAAAACATAGTTTTTTTTTTGAATTTTCGAGTTTTTTAGACGGCACCCCTGAAAAATGCCACAGGATCAATACAATTATGGGTCAATGCATTAATGGACATATTATAAAATAAACATGTTTGGTTGTATTTCTAGCTGTCTAGTTTCGATGTGTGTGTTTCAGGAAGGATTATTGTACAAAATAAACCAGCTCATAAACCAGTTTCTTTGAAAGCTATCATTCTTACATAAAAATTAAAGATGATCAAGTAAAAATTCAGTAAGTTCCGCCGGGCCGTATTTTGAACACCCTCCACC